TTTGTCCTGGGTCATTTGCCAGACACTCAACACCATCCCTGATTTCCATACACTTCCCAATGCCACAGCAGGTAGAATCCTGGGAATATCTACTCCTTTTCATAAGTACCTAATTCCTTAAATTAAATCTCTTCTAGTAGGAAATACCAAGAGTAGTTTCTGTTTGCCCAACCAGACTGACACATATCCATCCTGAGGATCTGAGCTTATCCTGAGGGACACAGGTGCCATTGAAGGATTTTAAGTAAGGAAGCAATCTGAGTAGAGTTGTATTTTACAAAGGTTATGCTAGATCCTGTGAGTAAAAAGGACTAGAGGCAACTCATACCTGGGGAAAAGGAACCCAATTCAAATGCTGAAGAAGAAAAGATGATGGTCATCTAGGCCAGGTTGGTAGGAATGGGTTCAGGCTGACTTAAGAGCTACTCAGATTGGAAACTGAAGACACCCTTGGTGACTTTTGGAATGTTATAAGTGAAAGAAAAGGACACGTGGAACCCAGGTTTGGATCCTAGTTGAGAGATAAAGTAGTTTAAAGGAAGAGGCAGGTATGATGGCAGTATGGAAACAGAATAAAATTAGGCCAATTAATCACAAAGCAGTGCTAGAACAACCCATATATATCTTCTAGTAGCATCTCTGAAAGAAGGTACCAGGAAGCACCAGTTCCATGAATTATGTACAGCAGAGATTGGCAAACCTTTCTGTAATGGGCAGATGGTGAATATCTTGGGCTTTGAGGGCCAGACTACCTCTGTAGCCACTCTGGAACTCTGCTGTTGTGCTAAAGCAGCTACAGACAAAACAATGAATGGGCACAATTGTGTTCCAATAAACTTTATTTACAAAAACAAGTGGTGGGATAGATTAGGCCTATGATCCATAGTTTTTCAGCCCCTGGCCTAGGGGGAAGAAGAATCTCCAGACAAGCTTAGGAAGACTGCCTGGTTTATCTCCCCCTTGGAGATTCACTGAGCCCATAGCATGTTACACACTGAAATTCAGTGAGGTAAAGGAAGCCACTTGCTTTTGCTTAACCCATCAGTTTCCAAACTTATTTGTCTTCAACTCCTTATTCTCATGTAACTCCTATTAACATCCTGAAGAACTATTGTTCTGTGGAACACATTTTGAGAAACACTTACTATAGACTGGATTTTAGAGGAACAAAGGAAGAACATTCGATTTTACTTGAATGCCAAATGCCATGTTCCACACCTAACCCTTGGGGAGGTGCATTCTCCACTGTGGTTGGCAGATCCAACTCCAAGGGCCCCTGCTGCACTCCCCTTCCCTCTAGCTTTGACCTAGAGTATGGAGGCAGGGTGAGAATGAGGTTGCTGCCTTGCCAGAAGGGGCCCCCTTCTCCCTGCCATAGCAGCCATTGGTGCTGCCGACTACTTCTCTGCATGAATTTATTTACAGGGCCCCTTTAAAACTTCCTGGACAAAAACATAATAAAAATAGTTAATTACAATAGTTAAGGCAGATTAACATAACATTGATAAATTATGGCTTTTTAAAGGAGTTTAAAACAGTATATCTCAGACTCCAGTTCCACTGAGGCAGGGTAACTTTACAATGATCCCAGTGGTCCCATCTGAGTCCAGATACTCATCACACTTCTCACCTGGGCCACTGCAAAGACTTCAATGGGTCTTTTTCCAGCCTTCAGTTCTAGCCCAGTCTGATCTACCCTGCACACTAATGAGAAATTAATCCTGTAAAGCACCATCTAATCAAAATGCTTTTTCTCAAAGCCCTTCACTGGCTCCTCAAGGCCTATGGCACACAACACAATTCCTCAGCTAGTTAAAGGTCTTCCATCCTCTGGCTCCAATTTACCTCTGCATCATAACTGGGTTAGTTTACCCATATGGAACCTGCTCCAGGCATATAAGTATTCCCTGAATTGGGGAGAAATTTCTCCCCAACTCAACTGTTCATTGTAGACCCTCTAGCCCAGTGGCTCCCAAATATAACTGGCACAGGATAATTATCTGAGAAACTTTTTATAAATTACAGACTTGTAGATGCTATTCCAGACTTCCCTCATTAGAATCCCCTAGGAATGGAGCATTAGAAACTTGTATTTTAACAAGCTCCCTAGGTGATTTTTATGTGGCCAGTCCAGATCAACACCAGGGACCATTGATGGTCCAAACTCTTCATTTAAGAGATGAGAAAACCCAAGTCTCCAAGGCTGTAGTCTGGGCAAGGCCACAGGTGCTCTTGCAATAACTAACTAGGCTTCTTGTTTCTCATCCATTCATCATGGAGGGAATGGTGGTATATGCCACATGGTTCTATAGATAAATATTTGCAGCTGGGCAAAATCTTCAGCAGTAAGATTTTGTTTCAAAGTCAAATTTGCAACAACAACAAAAAATACAAGTCAAATCCCACTTAAAAATGAATAGTCTGGCTGGGCATGGTGGCTCATGCCTGTAATCCCAGCAGTTTGGGAGGCAGATCACTTGACACCAGGAGTTTGAGACAAGCCTAGCCAACATGATGAAACCCTGTTTCTACTAAAAATACAAACATTAGCTGGGTGTGGTGGTGCACTGCTGTAATCCCAGCTACTCAGGAGGCTGAGGCAAGAGAACCCAGGAGGCAAAGGCAGTGAGCCGAAACCTAGCTACTGCACTCCACATTCCAGCCTGGGTGACAGAGCAAGACTCTGTCTAAAAAAAGAAAGAAAGAAAAAAGTCTAATTGTAGAACTTTGCTAATGTTTGGATAATAGGTAACTTTTTTTAGGTATGCAATATTGGCAGGTCAGAAAAAGAAACTCAAGCTTTGTTTATCATTCAAGGATACAGGTGGATTCCAAGAATGGGGATCACAAAGGCAGCAGCTAAATTCTAGGCAGATGAGTAGACAATCCTGCTGCTGCCTCCAGGGCCTTTCCAGCATTCTGTCAGTAATCTAAATATCATTTGGTGCCTAGTTTTCACCTGCCCCCATCTTGGCTGGGCAAGAACACACCAGGAAGCCATTTGGTAAATCCAGTAATAGAAGACACAGAACCAATGGCCTAGCACACCACTGTTGCACCCCATCATTCCCCAACCAGGCTCAAAAAGAGGGGTAGAGCCTCAAGAAGGTCCAAAAGACTGAATTCTCAGCAAGAATGATTACTAAAATCCATGACTCAAGTCACCTGTGAGAGACAGGACATGATGAACGAATGGTAAGCACCTGGAGGGCAGGATCTGTTTTGCTTCACTATCATTTTCCTGGTATCTTAGCTGAATGCCAGCAAACAACAGGTCCTCTAATCAATGGAATAAGCCAACAATGAACCCAATACTGTTTCATACTCCACTGAAGAAGTAGTCAGTAATTCATCCCTTAGTAACTGGAGCCACAGAGCACAGAACAGTTACAAGGTATAGGCTCTGGAGTCAAACCCAGGTTTTGCACTTGCTCGCTGTGTGAGCTGGTCACATGCTTAGCCTCCCTGAGTTGCAATTTCTTCATCTGCAAGGTGGGATAATCCACCTAACTCACAATATTATAAAGATTAAGCAAAATATCTGTCCACAATTACATAATAACTGTTTGACAATGGCAGCTACTATCATCATTAGGATTAAAATTATGATTGGTTTCCCAGGCATAGTTCCTCCTACTGCAGGTAGCAGCCAATCCTACATAAAGGCATTTTCCCCCTTGCCAAAGAGATGAAAACCTAGGCTGAGAAAATGCTGGCTCAAATTTACATTATAAGCAGATCCCACAAAGCAGGCTATCCACAGTCTAAATCAGTGCTGCTGGGTATTATTGCTACTAATGTTGAGGGGGAGAAAATTTTTAAATAAAATCCCTTTCAGACTTTCATGTTTCATGGCTGCCTTAGCATAGATATCTCAGGCAATTTGCAGTGAACATCTCTGGTGGGCACCCCCCTTGGCAGACCAATCCAACATTAGAGACACTCAGGAAAACACTGATAGAGGGGCTCAGGGACAACTTTGGAGAAAGTGGGTACCAGTGACTATAATGGGCAACTAGTCAGTGGATTTAGCACAAGGCACAATGCCTTGGAGATTCCTGGAACCCATTAGATTATGGAAAACACCCATGAAATAGACCTACTGTTACAACTAAAGTACTCTGAGCATTTTATTTTGGTCTAAAAGACAAATATTTTGACCATGACCCGGGTTTTGTTCGATATCCAATTTCTAGTAATAGAATAGAAATCTGAGTCAAGTCTGAAATGCACTCTACATCACATACCTAAAGCCATATTATAACAACATCTGCAGAGTCAACAACATGAGCCTCAAAGGTAAGATGATCTAAAGCAGGATTCTCTAGAGACTCATACTCCCCAGGGATGGGGTTGAAGAAAGATGCCCCATGCATGCCTCCTGCCAAACCAAAGAGACCCTTACTGAACAGGTACCCACCAGCAGCACAATTGAAAGGCACCTCATTATGAGGCTTTTAGAAATCCTTTCTCCTGGGTTCCAATCCCTGACATATAAGGCATGGCAATAATAACAAATGTATATACAAATTTCAAAATTCCTCAGAGTCCTGGCCTATGAACCAATATTTTATCACACTTAAATCTGAATTGCTTTCCTAGTTCCTTTGGTGTGATGGAGTGTTAGAGTAACATCCTTTCTGACTTACTAACAGTTCACACTTAGACTGCAATAAATGTCCCCTTTTGGGTTGACATAGCCCTTCCTGCATGAGCCATATCCATCAGAATAATGTGGCTTTAAAAATTTTCAATTAGAAATAGCTGGCCAGAAAAAGGAGCTATAAAAATTATGTTAAGAGTTAGGAACCGGCCATAAAATAAATTCACCATTGATGAGGATGTGGAACTGGAGTGGGAATACCATTAATGGAGTGTAAATCAGTACAAACACTTTGTAAAACTGTTTGGCAGTACCTACTAAAGCTGAACATATGCCTATACTATGACCCAGAAATTCTACTCTTAGGTGTATACCCAAGAGAAATGAAAACACTCACCCACTCAACAACTTGGATACAAATGTTCACAGCAACACTATTCATAATTGCCCAAATCTGAAAAGTACAAAACTGTCCATCAATAGTAGAAATTAGTGTTGTATTTGCACATACAATGGAATAGTACACACCAATGATCTCAATTACATTCAACAGTGTGAATAAATCACACAAACATCATTTAATAAAAAGAAGCCAGACAAAGAGTATATACTGCATAATTCCACTTAAAGTACAACACAGGTCCAACTAATTTATGCTGTTAGAAGTCAGAATAGTAGTAACCCTAAGAATAAAAGACAGTGACTGGAAAACAGTACAAGGAGGGTTTCTGCGGTGCTAGTAATATTCTGTTTCTTGATTTGGGTGCTAATTACATTTAATGTGCAACTCAATGAATTTTCACAAGCAGAACACATGCACATAATCAGCACCCAAATCAAGAAACAGAATACTACTACAACTAACAAAGGATGTAAAAGATCTCTTCAAGGAGAACTATAAACCACTGCTCAAGGAAATAGGAGAGGACACAAACAGATGGAAAAACATTCCATGCTCATGGTTAGGAAGAATCAATATCGTGAAAATGGCCATACTGCCTAAAGTAATTTATAGATTCAATGCTATACCCATCAAGCTACCATTGACCTTCTTCACAGAACTAGAAAAAAAAAAACTTTAAACTTCATATGGAACCAAAAGAGAGCCCGCATAGCCAAGACAATCCTAAGCAAAAAGAACAATGCTGGAGGCATCATGCTAACTGACTTCAAACTATACTACAAGACTACAGTAATCAAAACACCATGGTACTGGTACCAAAACAGAGATATAGACTAATGGAACAGAACAGAGGCCTTGGAAACAACGCCACACATCTACAACCATCTGATCTTTGACAAACCTGACAAAAACAAGCAATGGGAAAAGGATTCCCCGTTTAATAAATGGTGTTGAGAAAACTGGCTAGCCATATGCAGAAAGCTGAAACTGGACCTCTTCCTTACACCTTATACAAAAATTAACTCCAGATGGATTAAAGATTTAAACATAAGACCTAACACCATAAAAACCCTAGAAGAAAACCTAGGCAAAACCATTCAGGACACAGGCACAGGCAAGGACTTCATGACCAAAACACCAAAAGCAATGGTAACAAAAGCCAAAATAGACAAATGGGATCTAATTAAACTTAAAAGCTTCTGCACAGCAAAAAAAAACAAAAACAATCATTAGAGTGAACCAGCAACCAACAGACTGGGGAAAAAATTTTGCAATCTACCAATCTGACAAAGGGCTAATATCCATAATCTACAAAGAACTAAAGTAAATTTACAAGAAAAAAATCAAACAAACCCATTTAAAAGTGGGCAAAGGATATGAACAGACACTTTACAAAAGAAGACATATATGCGGCCAACAAACATATGAAAAAATGCTCATCATCACTGGTCACTAGAGAAATGCAAATCAAAACCACATTGAGAAACCATCTCATGCCAGTTAGAATGAAGATCATTAAAAAATCTGGAGACAACAGATGCTGGAGAGGATGTGGAGAAACAGGAAGGTTTTACACTGTTGGTGGGAGTGTAAATTAGTTCAACCATTATGGAAGACAGTGTGGCAATTCCTCAAGGATCTAGAAATAGAAATTCCATTTTACCCAGCAATCCCATTACTGGGTATATACCCAAAGGATTATAAATTGCTCTATTATAAAGACACATGCACACATATGTTCATTGCTGCACTGCTTACGATATAGCAATACCTGGAACCAACCCAAATGCCCATCGATGATAGACTGGACAAAGAAAATGTGGTACATATACACCATGGAATACTATGCAACGATAAAAAGACAAGTTCGTGTCCTTTGTAGAAACATGGATTAACCTAGAAACCATCATTCTCAGCAAACTGACACAAGAACAGAAAAGCAAACACTGCATGTTTTCACTCATAGGTGGGTGATGAACAAAGAACACTTGGGCACAAGGAAGAAAACAACACTCACTGGGCTAGGTGGTGGGGGAGGGAGGAGAGGGACTGTGGAGGGGGAGGATGGGAAGCGATAACACAGGGAGAAATGCCTGATGTAGGCGAGACGGCGGGGGGATGGGGGTGGGGGTGGGCCGGAGACAGCAAACCACCATGGCATGTATGTACCTATGCAACAATCCTGCAGGATGCGTGATGTGCACATGTACACCAGAGCCCAAAATACAATTAAAAAAAAAATCCAGTAGAGCCAATTTCCTGTAATGTCCTTAAAGTGCCACCTAGTGGCACAAGTTAAATTTAAACAAGAGGGAAGTTTTGCCCGTAGCAACTTCAAAAATATGGCCCCATTTCTAATAGCACATTTTGGGATTGGGCTGAAACAGTGCCCTAGACTAAAATCATTGGCATGATACATAAAGAAAAAAAGTTCTTGTTGCCTGGCACATAGAATCCTGATACAAGGATTCAGAGGCAAGTGAAGCTGTCTACCACGGAGCATGCTAGTGTTAGTGAGCCAAAGATACACATCTCTTCCCAACTCTACTTGCAGTCAGCATGGTGGGAGCATTCACAAAACAGACAGGAACAAGGGCTGCAAATTGGGGCTTTCCCCCAACCCGCAGGGGAGAAGGTTTACCAACACACTGCTGACACCTACAAAATCTGCTGGGCAGAGCAGGGTATTTAAGAGGGGGTTGGGAAGAAAAATTCCTTTACCCTGTTTTCTCTGGACAGGCTTGTTTCCTTCTTCCTTTCCTTCAAGGTACACTACTGTGGTGAGGCCTAGTCTGGCTTCTTTTAATTATGCTTGCAAAACAGAGATGGGGATGCCTATCCACTGCATGCCTTTGAAGCTGCCAGTTGTATGAAAGATACTGCTCAGAGTTTTGCTAGTAAAGTCTGAAAGACAGATCATCTCGATGAAAGGTCCTCAAGGAAAAATCAGAAACCATAGGCACATGATCCTTGATATAAGAGCAGGAGGGTTAAAGGCTGACGGGGAGGCCTATCCATCTGTTCACTGATTCTTCTCATTGCCATTCTTTTGATCTATGGCAGGATTCTCGAGACTCACGTTCCCTGATGGAAAAGGTTGAAGATGCCCTATGCATGCCTCTTGCCAACTGATTCTCCTTCGCATTTTCATTATTTATACAAACAGGCAACCATCTGGATTTGGCCTTTAGGCTATAATTTGCCAATCCCTGATGTAGGCAGAGGGACAGCCCATGAAAGGTCACAGATGAGGGTAACAACGTGCTTCTACTACAAGTGGTTTAGCAAGCCAGTTCAGCACTCATTCTGGGCTTGTGGCAACTAATTTCTAGCTATCTGGAGTCTGTTCTGTGTTTGCCAGCTAGATCCCACCTCTGTTTCACTAGTCCTGTGGTGATGACAATTATAACAGCTAAATGTTGTTGAGGGTTGACCATGCACCAGGCATCATTCTAAGTGCTTTAGAGATCTTTACTGATGTAATCATCACAACCCTATGAAAATAAATACTACCATGATCCTCATTTTACAGATGATGAAATTGAGGCACAGAGAGACTAACTTGCCCAAAGTCACAAAGCCAGTAAGAGGCAGAGATGGAATTTGAAACCCCAAGCCCATGCTGTTAAATCCTCTGTCAGGCTGCCTCCCTGAGCCCAACCCCTGGTTAGTGTCCTCCATTGTCCTTTTCCATTAACATGGTAGTACATTTGGGCACCTTCCCAATCCACATTTGCTCCTCCCTTGACCCCCTCGGGAGTGCTTCCTTAAAGTCATAGTGCGGGCTGGGCACAGTGGCTGATGCCTGTAATCCCAGCACTTTGGGAGGCCGAGGCAGGCAGATCAAGAGGTCAGGAGTTCGAGACCAGCCTGACCAACATGGTAAAACCCTGTCTCTACTAAAACTACAAAAATTAGCTGGACATGGTGGCACGCACCTGTAGTCCCAGCTACTCATGAGGCTGAGGCAGGAGAATTGCTTAAACCCAGGAGTCAGAGGTTGCAGTGAGCCAAGATCATGGCCACTGCACTCCAGCCTGGGTGACAGAGCAAGACTCTTTCTCAAAAAAAAAAAAAAGGGCACAGTGCAATAGAGGGCAGCAGCGAAGAGAAATGAGGATTCCATTGTTCAGGAACCTAGAAAGCAAGCATAACTGAGCTCCCCAGGGGAAAACTGGGCTATATTGTTAGTTATTAGAAACATCGTGACCAGTTTATTGCCTACAACCTGTGTCAATAAAGCATGAAGAAACGGGTTTAAATGAGACACATGGAAAATGACTTAGTTGTAAGAACCATGAGAGACTATAGAATAGATAGTGTTGGTCATGACTGCTGTGAGAGGGTAATGCAGAATGAAGGAACTACAGAATAAGGATCACATCACATTCTTTCTGCTCCCATAGTTCTCAGCAAAGTGTGGGCCTACAGTAAGCATATTCCATTAACATCTGATGAAATCAGATGAACTTACAGCATCTTCCAGAAGAATGATATCAGCAGAGTGAGCATTATATAATAAAACAGCATCACAGGCATAATACAATCAAGAAGAACCTAAGAAAGAAAACAAGTCCTACGCAACTGTCTTGCATGCTCTGCTCATGTACCCCAAAACCTAAAATCCAATTAAAAAAAAAAGAAATATAGGCAAAAAAAAAAAAAGAAAGAAAACAAGTCACAAGAAGTGAGGTAACTAGTTCCATAAAATAAAATGTATCCCTGACAAAGATAGTGTGTCAGTTTCGTTGTAAGAAAGTAATTGTGAGATGTGGTTTCACAGCACAGCATAGCAGTATAGTAGGAGCTGGCACCCTGGGGCTAAATAGCCAGGGTAGGAATCATAGCCTTAACTCTTTCTGTCAGTGACCTCGAACAAGTTGCTGAGGTTCTCTGTGCCTTGGTTTACTTATCTGCAATGTGAGGATATCAATAGAACCCACTGCATGTTGTTGTGAGGCTTAAATTCGTCAATATTTGTAAAGCATATAGAAGAGCATCTGGCACTCTGTTGAAGTGCTTGATAAATTAATAAAATACATGAATAATCA